ACCGCCGTTTGTTGCCGTCCTTCCGCGGCATAATTATTCTTCGTTGCAGCGCGCAGCTTTTTCCCTTTCCTCTGAACCTTTTTGTGGCGTCTCGACCGCGGTTTTATAATCGCTCGTTGTTTTAGGCGAATGGAAGTTCTTTCTCTTCCTCTTTCTTTCTATGTACATGCCTTCTTTTATTCTCTTCTCTGTGCCACTCTTCTTCCTCCTCCGCACTCTTTCGCAGAGGCACTTTCTCGCTTAACGACGGCGGGAAGAAAAATAAGTAGTACTACTCATTTTTAATGCAGGACATAAAGCGCTGTGCATCTTGAGAAGGTGTGCGCGCGAAATCCACTCGCTAAATTGAATTTTAAAGGAACGTTCGGTTTAAAAACCGATTTGCAGCCCGGAATAGATGTAGTTTAAAAAATTGGCACGACTACACGTGCACAATTAAAAACGTCACATGTATATACTATAGAGTTGATACTTTTTTAATCTAGATAATTTTTCTAGTATGGCGTAAATTAAATTGAATTTTTTTCTTTACATAACTGATTTGTTTTACTGAGCAAACTTTACCGTTTTTATAATTAGTAATTAAAATTTATTCTAAAATTTAAATCTTCAATATAATCCTATTAATTAACAGTTAATATTTAACATTTCTTAAGATACTATATAAATATATACTTTAAAAAACTATATTTATATAACAAAAAGCTTCGGCATTTCTATGTATATAAAATAATGAAAAATAAATTTGCATATTTAGAATTGATTTAAAGAATTATAGCTATATTAGATAACTCGAATAATATTTCCATCAGATTTTTCAACAACGCGAGTTATCGGAAGCGTGTTGCCTAACGTGGCTTCTCATCGTTACACTTTTCTAGTTTAACAATAATCCATTCACACATATACACCGTTGCTTGTTTCTTTCTCATCACAGCAGTGAATCACTACTGCAACGAGATTTTTCGCGATGAGAGCAAAATAAAAGAGGAAAAGGGAGAAGTGAATATATACAGAGATGGAGAAAATGGAGTAAAATAGACACGAGATGAGAGTAAGAGAGACACGACAAAAATCGAGCACACGGATTTTTACGAGTCTCTCACAAAACGGAAGTCGATAAAAGAGGAGTGCACGGTTCCCTCTTCTGCCTGTACTGTAATTAATTACGAAACGTTTGCAGCGAAGAAGGAGAAAGAGAGTGAGCAGAAGGTTGAAGGGAAAAGGACGGTTGGCGAGTACAAGCGACCATAAAAAATTCCGTATAGAAGGCGCAGTCACCTCGTGACCGTACTCGAGCGTGCATTGGCTCTCGAGCACCACATTGTGACAGCAGGATTTTTCCGATCGTCCTGTGCGAATAAGGGAGAGAATTTATAGCGGCGGTATATAGTAGTTAACTGGTATATATATACGGCGACACACATTAATGCTTTCGCAGATATAAGCGAAAAGGTATTGTTAATGTGGTTCATTAAAGTGGCGTTTTTTTAATCAATCGCAGAAAAAAAAGGGATCCTTCGTTCAAGTATATTTTTATTCTTGAACGGTATTTGATTGATTTAAGCATAGAATACTCTTTGTAATTACAAATTTGCATTTGCCTTAGTTCTTGTTTCAAAAATCGTTATAACATACTTAGTGAAAACATACTTAGTCACATTTGAACATTACTTTGAACTAAGAATTATATACTTGATAGTACTGCTTATATCCGATGTTCATTTGACCCAACAATACTCGATTTTAAATTGAAGTAAATTTCAGCTTCAATCAAGAATATTTTGCATTTTGTTTTAAGAATAAAGTATCCTTAATCCAAGATTATTTATATTTGGAGCTATTATAAGGATAAAATATACTTGAATCAAAACATATTTGCATTTTTTCGAGGATACTGTTTCTCTGCGCGGCGACACACATTAATGCTTTCGCAGATATAAGCGAAAAGGTATTGTTAATGTGGTTCATTAAAGTGGCGTTTTTTAATCAATCGCAGAAAAAAAGGGATCCTTTATTCAAGTATATTTTATTCTTGAACGCTATTTGATTGATTTGAGCATAGAATGCTCTTTGTAATCACACATTTTATTTGCCTAATAATAAATAAGTTTGTGTGAAGTATATTTTATCCTTAAAATGTATTTTTGTTTGAAAAATCGTTATATGATAAAAACAAACTTGTTAGTCACATTTGAACTAAGAATTATTATATATATTTGAAAGCACCGCTTATATAATCCGATGCTCATTTGTCCTTGCAATATTTATAAGTAAATTTCAGCTTTAACCAAGAATATTTTGCACTTTGTTTTAAGGATAAATTATTCTTTATCCAAATTATTTATATTTGGATAAAATATACTTGAATCAAGGCATATTTGCATTCTTTCAAGGATACTGTTTTTCTGCAATTATTTAAAAAATCACAAATTCTTTGATAAATGGTTTTTTTAGTGTAAATAGTTCGTGTGTGATAGTTTTTATCCCATTGACTGATTTCTTATACTTTAATTTTTTTCAATATATTTTATTGACATTGCTGAGATAATTATAATGAAATATTGGGAACTTTCAAAAATTTCAAAGACGAAAATTTAATTATACGTGCGGAAATATTCGTGCATTCATGATTCACGGTACCTACAGTACAATTGGGGCAATTCCGCGGGAGATAGGAGATTTCGACAATCGTGGGAGCTATTTTGAAAGAGCTCGGGTCACAATGTCGTATTTCTCCTCGCTTGGCGCCGAAATAGACGGATTTCTGCAATCGCGAGCGTCGAATGAAGCCTTTGACAGCGGCCATTTCTGAAAGTGCTCCTACATCTTTGAGAATTTCGTCCGGAGAGAGAGAAATGAAAGGATTTTCGTATTCCCGTTACGCTATTGCGCGATACATCAAACGCGAAACAAATTTGTGAGCGCATGGGGGGGCACATTGTGATATCATAAGGTATCATAAGCGATGCTCGTGACCCCCTTCTACTCCAACGGCGCTTTCATTCGTTCATCTCGCAGGATGTAATCCGGCTGGCAACATTTCCGGTATACGCAGTAATGCGAAAAGACATTTCCACGGTGGCAACTCAATTCTCAATACCGTGTACTAGAACAATATATAGATGTACATTCGAAGAGAGATAGAACGAAATATTATTTGACATTCGACATATTGCTTTGTGTCATAAATAGAAATTATCTTTTTTTTTTAAAAAAAAAAAAAAGTCATAATTATTATATATTTTATTTTTATAATGAAATCATTATTTATTTATGATTTAATGCATTTAGAATTTGATTACAAGTTTATGATAACGTGGATTTAAATAATAAAAGAGAAGCGAGAGGGTATGTGTGTAGGGAAAACTTTTTGAAAATTTTAAAATCTTATCCGTTTTATAACGATATTTCAGTTTTTATTATATCAAGTAATAAAGTGAAAACTTAAAGCTTCCTTATTTTTTATTTAATTTTGACTTGGAAAGTATTCTGCGCTTCTTATATGTAACAAGATATTTTTTCTCATATATTTTATTAATTTTACTGTTATTTTCATACGATAAAAATTCGAATTAAATAACAAAATAACTACGGCAAAAAATAAATCGTGACTGCATATTTAATAATAACTATATTTTATAGAATTAAGTAAAATGAATCGCGCGGGAAGATAAGTATCATATTATATAATGACGAAATCAAAACGTCACTTTGCACTGTCGTATATGCACGACTGATTGCATCGTTTAATTAACCAAAAAGCTCGATTCAATAGCTTTATCGCTGCATTAAGAGCGACGCAATTTGCACTTTATACTCATATGTTCAGCAAATTTGCGAGTTTACAGTTGCAAAAAATTGCATAGTAAATAGATGATCAAATATAGTGGTTTTAATTGCTTTACTTTTATGCATTTAAATGAAGAATTAATAATTGGAAAGTTTCCAGAAATATATGGATAAAAATATAAGATTTGAAAAGTTTGAAACTTCTTTTATTGAACTAAATTTTAAAAATTTCACAATTGTGTAATTTTTGCAGAAAGTTCTAAAAGTTAATTAAGTAAACAGCATTTTTTACTTTGTATTCCGTAATAGCTGTATTTTTTAACAGTTAATTACAAAAATATAGAATGTATATCTCATATAAGTTATACATATATTATTCATAAGTTGATAAATTTAAAAATTATATATGCTAAGATAGATTTTTAATTAAAAATCCATATCTCCATATTCTTCCAAACATGCGTCTCAATATACACAACTACAAACAATATACACATAACAACTTTTTGTATTTGATTCGTAAAGCACATTGAAGTGTCTCGCATATCAAGAACTTATAAAACAATGGAGTCTCGATTAAATTCTCGATCAAGAAATCGTAATTTTGGAACAGTTAGTTCATTGTTCCATTAACTTGATTATTGCATGAAAATCAAGCGGATTATCCGATGTTTTACCAAAAAATCCATCCGAAATGCGTTTATCTTTATCAAAAAGAATTTTATTCGGACATTACAATTTATTCGCGTTGATTTACGACGAGTCGGTACAGACGCGTGCGCCCGTTTTATTCGCGCCCTTTCATTCTCATTCAAACTATTCGTGCGCGCCTAATGAAATATAATTTGTCGTCGTCGGAGAGTTTCACGTCGGCCGGTTATAAATAACGGAAACGCTTTATCGCGCGAGGTGGATATTAAATCACTGCGCACTCTCGCGCTTTCTCTCTCGCCTCGCCTCGCCACGGCTCCGTCTTTCGACCGGTTTTGTCACGCGGTAATTTGCCGTAATAACGACGAATTTCCCGAATTTTTTGGCGCTGGCGAACTGATCTCAATGGAATTCCCCTTTCCTTTTCTTCTTTTCCGGCCGTAATGTCGAGTTTTAATCTTGCTCGTGGCGCCGCGGCGCGGGAAAAATGTTAAACGCGCATTCTTTATGTGCGCGCACTGGCCTTTTAATATCACGTTCTATCCTATCTGTTTCAGGATCGGGCATCAAGGTGCCGATGGCTATACTGAATTGCCTCTACGCCCGTCAATTGTGCTACGAAGATCCATCGTGCAGCGCTATTTTGGAAATTATACCGAGAGTCTGCGGTCCGGAATTAGGTAAGTGAGTCAGATTGGCTTTTTATAAAGTAAGCATAATTTCGAATAATTAGTTAATTAATATTGCGTTAACAATTAACAATTAATTACACATTTATGCCTCATTTATACCTCAATGTTAATCATGCGTGGTTAATCGGGATTTTCAATATTGGTTTAAATCCGAATTAATGATAGCCCCCCCTCCCCCTTGGATCAATGGTATAATCGAGACAATGGTGCTATGTGCTCTTGCGTTATCTAACAGCGCAATTGATAGGTCAAAATATATATAATTTTCATTTCTACATACAGAATTTTAATTTAGATATAATCAAATATTGAATTTTTTAATATCTCTCTGAAATTTATATACGGATTTATAAATTCAAGTTTTAATGATAATCTTTATTTAATATTTGAAAATAATCTCGAAACGCGAGATAATAAAAAATCTCGCATACAGGCATAAATCTTGTTGGCGTGTATATTTTATTTATACGTATATCGTATCATTTGCCATTAGCAATAATTTACATTATATGTGTAAATGAATAAGTCCAATAGTTTAAGAAAAAAAACAAAAAAGATGCAAATTAATCGCAGTTTAATCGTTTTATTAAATAAAAGTCGATTTACATCTGCGTGCGATATATGTATGACATATTATGCCTTTTCAATCAAATTATATATAAAATTCAAACATAATGTCGATTCTTGTTAAGAAAATGAAATGTAATGTGACACAATCTTAGTTAAAAAATTTTGGCGAGAGTTTTACGCGATACACTATTTATGTCTCATTTTGAAATAATCATCGTCCTTAATTGGTCGTACATAATTCGTGAAATTTCGTATTGGTCCGTAAAATAAAAAACGTCCCGTGAGTGCCACGGCGTCACATTTGAAATTTCGCGATGTGGAGGCACCGTACCGCATTTCCATGAAATTTGCATGCGGATCTCGAAATCTCGAGAAATTTCTTATGGAAACGATGATGACATTAATGTCTGAATTTTGAATTTTACGTGAAAGTGTCAGAACTTCTGAAAGCATCTTGCTAGGACTTACAATATTATAGATTAGGGTCAATCAATAATGGGGGATTGTAATAAATTTATACAAATTACTATTCCAGTGAATATATTTAATGATATATCATATTTATATGATTACTCTGAATTTTTTTCCATACATATACATAATACCTAGATTATTACACCGCGAGGTATAATATTAACGTTTCATAAACTTGAAAAATTCCGTTTTCTATAAATTTACCGATTTTATTTATAGAATTTGCAAAGCCACCTTTTCCTTGGAATGATTATGAATCATAATGGATGCCGCGAACGGTAGCTTCGTATTGGACATTGATAAATAAAAGACGTATCTCGTTGCTCGCTGTTCTTGAAACAGAAGTAAAAGCTTCGGTAGGTTTTCCGAGCTAAAAGCTTTCCGAAAGCAATGCCATTTGTTTTACTTTCGCTTGGGCGATTACATGATAGATTATTCACGTAACTCGCCGGTATCAGAAAGGAGCGCGAAAGCCGCGGCATAAATCACAATGGACAATGTCTTTGTTTTAAAAAGCCGCGTGCGCGCGCTTTTTCTCGCTATGTCGAACGAAATAAAATATATAACGGCGTGCTTGCATGTGCTCCTTGACTTCGCTGGAGCTGCTTTTTAATGCAACACACGCCATTTTGCATTTTGCACGTCGACGACGACGTTGCGACAAGCAAGAGGTCCGGCTGCGTTTCTTGCGAGGCGACAACCGTGTTTCGTTTGTGATTAAAAGATAGGGGGAAGAAACACGAAGCTTTATCATCTAACATTATTATTTGCACATATAGACACCTTTATATCGATGTAGCAATTCAAAAAGCTGACTTTTCACATTTTTTTAAATTCAATACTCTGATCTTATTTCATAATTTTCAATCGAAACTGATTGCGTTAAAATCATTTCAAACTGTTTTATTTTATCATATAGAAAAATTTTCTTTTCTTTTTTAGCGTATGTTATTAAAATAATTTTTTTGTGTATATACATATATGCATAAGAAATTTGCAATAGATAAATAGGAAACTTTGAAGATTTTCTCTTGATGACGCGTATTGAATTTTCTTTCTTAGACAACATGACAATTAGGAGCGATAGGCACTTGGCGTGATGGCGAGATTCATAATAATTTCAAACTGTTTTATTTTATCATATATAGAAAACTCGACTTTAAAATTTTCAAGCGATAGATTTTAAATCACACTTCCTTTTTGCTTGTATAAACATTTTCTCTTCTCTTTTAGCGTGTATTATTAAAATAATTTTTTAAATTACAATATATGCATAAGAAATTTGCAGTAGATAAACAGAAAACTTGGAAAATTTTCTCTTGATAACGCGTATTGAATTTTCTTTCTTAGACAACATGACAATTAGGAGCGATAGGCACCTGGCGTGATGGCAAGATTTATAATAATTTCAAACTGTTTTATTTTATCATATATAGAAAACTCGACTTTAAAATTTTCAAGCGATAGATTTTAAATCACCTTCCTTTTTGCTTGTATAAACATTTTCTCTTCTCTTTTAGCGTGTATTATTAAAATAATTTTTTAAATTACAATATATGCATAAGAAATTTGCAGTAGATAAACAGAAAACTTGGAAGATTTTCTCTTGCTAACGCGTATTGAATTTTCTTTCTTAGACAACATGACAATTAGGAGCGATAGACACCTGGCGTGATGGCGAGATTCATAATAATTTCAAACTATTTTATTTTATCATATATAGAAAACTCGACTTTAAAATTTTCAAGCGATAGATTTTAAATCACACTTCGTTTTTGCTTGTATAAACATTTTCTCTTCTCTTTTAGCGTGTATTATTAAAATAATTTTTTAAATTACAATATATGCATAAGAAATTGGCAGTAGATAAACAGAAAGCTTGGAAGATTTTCTCTTGATAACGCGTATTGAATTTTCTTTCTTAGACAACATGACAATTAGGAGCGATAGGCACCTGGCGTGATGGCGAGATTCATAATAATTTCAAACTATTTTATTTTATCATATATAGAAAACTCGACTTTAAAATTTTCAAGCGATAGATTTTAAATCACACTTCGTTTTTGCTTGTATAAACATTTTCTCTTCTCTTTTAGCGTGTATTATTAAAATAATTTTTTAAATTACAATATATGCATAAGAAATTTGCAGTAGATAAACAGAAAGCTTGGAAGATTTTCTCTTGATAACGCGTATTGAATTTTCTTTCTTAGACAACATGACAATTAGGAGCGATAGACACCTGGCGTGATGGCGAGATTCATAATAATTTCAAACTATTTTATTTTATCATATATAGAAAACTCGACTTTAAAATTTTCAAGCGATAGATTTTAAATCACACTTCGTTTTTGCTTGTATAAACATTTTCTCTTCTCTTTTAGCGTGTATTATTAAAATAATTTTTTAAATTACAATATATGCATAAGAAATTTGCAGTAGATAAACAGAAAGCTTGGAAGATTTTCTCTTGATAACGCGTATTGAATTTTCTTTCTTAGACAACATGACAATTAGGAGCGATAGACACCTGGCGTGATGGCGAGATTCATAATAATTTCAAACTATTTTATTTTATCATATATAGAAAACTCGACTTTAAAATTTTCAAGCGATAGATTTTAAATCACACTTCCTTTTTGCTTGTATAAACATTTTCTCTTCTCTTTTAGCGTGTATTATTAAAATAATTTTTTAAATTACAATATATGCATAAGAAATTTGCAGTAGATAAACAGAAAGCTTGGAAGATTTTCTCTTGCTAACGCGTATTGAATTTTCTTTCTTAGACAACATGACAATTAGGAGCGATAGACACCTGGCGTGATGGCGAGATTCATAATAATTTCAAACTATTTTATTTTATCATATATAGAAAACTCGACTTTAAAATTTTCAAGCGATAGATTTTAAATCACACTTCGTTTTTGCTTGTATAAACATTTTCTCTTCTCTTTTAGCGTGTATTATTAAAATAATTTTTTAAATTACAATATATGCATAAGAAATTTGCAGTAGATAAACAGAAAGCTTGGAAGATTTTCTCTTGATAACGCGTATTGAATTTTCTTTCTTAGACAACATGACAATTAGGAGCGATAGACACCTGGCGTGATGGCGAGATTCATAATAATTTCAAACTATTTTATTTTATCATATATAGAAAACTCGACTTTAAAATTTTCAAGCGATAGATTTTAAATCACACTTCGTTTTTGCTTGTATAAACATTTTCTTTCTCTTTTAGCGTGAATTATTAAAATAATTTTTTAAATTACAATATATGCATAAGAAATTTGCAGTAGATAAACAGAAAGCTTGGAAGATTTTCTCTTGATAACGCGTATTGAATTTTCTTTCTTAGACAACATGACAATTAGGAGCGATAGACACCTGGCGTGATGGCGAGATTCATAATAATTTCAAACTATTTTATTTTATCATATATAGAAAACTCGACTTTAAAATTTTCAAGCGATAGATTTTAAATCACACTTCGTTTTTGCTTGTATAAACATTTTCTTTTCTCTTTTAGCGTTTATTAATAAAATAATTTTTTAAATTACAATATATGCATAAGAAATTGGCAGTAGATAAACAGAAAGTTTGGAAGATTTTCTCTTGATAACGCGTATTGAATTTTCTTTCTTAGACAACATGACAATTAGGAGCGATAGGCACCTGGCGTGATGGCGAGATTTAACGGCGCCGCGGATAATTTACAGGTCGCTCTACGATCGTTCGTAACGCGATTTCCATTCAGAGGCAACGAAGGAAAAAGATGCGATTGGGAAGGGTAGGAGACAACGAGGATGGGAAGAACGAGGTCGTCGACCGTCTCCTCTCGTGTCGACCTCGTTTTCCCTCTCTTGTTACGGTCACGTCGGATGGTGGAAAACTCGGCTCTACACTTTTCGATCTCCTCATTGAATCAATCGCACTCG